CATCATCACCACCATCATCATCACAACCATCATCACTATCCTCACCACCATCATGTCATCATCAATATCATCATGCGATTCATGAAAACCTGATATGGCTATCTCATTACATTTTATAATGCAGCAGCCATATTTATTCCAAGSAGAATAAAAAGCATTGTTTATGTGGCTATTCAAGTGTAAGCTAATCATAAAACCCTTGCAATTGAATGCAAGGCTATCCAATGAGGGAGAATCTGTTGTTTCAGCCAACATGACTGTCACGTTGTAGGTCCATTACCTGCACATCTTTTACTTAGCTGGTCAAATCGAAAATGTATACCTGGTTCTGCTTCACCAGACTGTGTTATTTCACTGTATGTTATAGTCTTGGAATCCTCTTCTTCTGGACCAGTTACAGACAGGGTTGGTGCCGAAGGAGCAGGAGATGGGACACGTTGTTCAAAGGGGAGCTCAAGAAACTTGAATTCTACATGGTATTTGTGTTCTATCCTCGGCCACTCCATCTGCGACTCTGGATCCTATCGTAATTGATGCCGTAATTAAATATTAATGTAATAACATGTAATAACTTCAAGCCGAGAGCCAAAAAATAACAGATGGTCCAACCATGATCACCAACCACATTGACAGCACATAATATGCATGGATGGCATTTAATAATAAAAACACTTACCTCTATTTCCTCTGGTGGTTTAACTCCTGTTATACCATCCACTGCAACAGTGAGTCGACTTTCATCCAGTGCGATATCTAAACAATTTTGCATTATTCAAAACTATGGTTCATTACATTTATCCCATGCAGCTCGTGCTTTTTCTACAGCCATGTCACTGTCTTTTTCACAACTGCAAACTTCCTACTAGCCTGAGAAAACAGYGGCTATCCTTTTGCTTACTTCTCCTAGTTACATGTATGTACCTCAAAAGAGGGACATCTYGTTCAGGACAACCAGGGGAAATGAGTGAAAGAAAAGCTTCATTTTCTCAGGCTGTGACTCCTTCCAGAAGATGGAAATTGGATGAATGTCCAAATGAAAGTCCCACTAACCTTTTAGTTTGGCAAGTCCTTTGAAATAATGCTTTTCATCTGCAGATATACGGCTATCATCCAGTATAGTCAATTGCCGAATTGAGTCAATGATGTAACCACGGTAACTAGGTACAAGCTGAAATACAGGAAAGTTGATGCGAGTTTTGGATGGATAATGATAAGAGGTTTGGATGGATAATGATAAGAGGTTTGGATGGATAATATTACAGTATGTCACAAAATTTTGCGTATTTGCTTACCACCAAAGGATTTCCTTGAAGAACCAGGTTGCGTAATTTAGGAAGCAATTTTAGTATATTGATGGTGTCTTCAAGGCGAGATAGATTGTTGTAGCTGACATCTAATGATAGAAGGTGACTCCTACAAGAGACATATAGACATATGATTATATCCAATGGCATTCTGTGATTTGATCCACTTCCCTTCAAATTTTATCAAATCCTGAAACAACTTCTGGCCTGTCAKGGCCAACCAAGCTAACTCACAGAGGAAATAAGAAATTTAGCATACTAGGTTTTGAAAAGGGAGGAAAACTGGAGAAATATCCTCAAATGTCACAAAACGTTGAACCAAACTCACCATGTTTGTGGCTTCATCTGACTGGGAATGGACTCAATCTTGTTGTAACTTAAACCAAGGTGAATCAAAGGTGGAGGATTGATACAGAGTCGACTAATATCTGAGATCTGGTTGGCAGACAATTCCAGTTCCTGTAAATTAGAGAAATTAYGAAACAATTATTTTTAACCAGTGGGATGAACAAGTTTTGACATATTTTATACGTATCATGGTGTCAATAGAGTATTAGTACATGGTCAGTAGGGTGCTGGTACATTGTCAGTAGGGTGCTGGTACATGGTCAGGAGGGTGTTGGTACATGGTCAGTAGGGTGTTGGTCAACGGTCAGTAGGGTTTTGGTCAACAGTCAGTAGGGTGCTGGTGCGTAGTTAGTAGGGTGCTGGTCAACGGTCAGTAGGGTGTTTGTGCGTGGTCAGTAGGGTGCTGGTGCGTGGTCAGGAGGGTGCTGGTGCGTGGTCAGTAGGGTGCTGGTGCGTGGTCAGTAGGGTGCTGGTGCGTGGTCAGTAGGGTGCTGGTGCGTGGTCAGGAGGGTGTTTGTACATGTTCAGCAGGGTGTTGGTACTTGGTCAGTAGGGTGTTGGTATCTGGTCAGTAGCTTGTGGGTAGGGTGTTAGGTGTTGGTAGTATGTTGGTAGGGTGTAGATATGTTGTCATTAGAGTGTTGGTAGAGTGATGGYCAGTAGGGTATTGGCAAGTTTGTTGGCAGATGGTAGATAGGTCAGCAGTAGGGTGTTGCTATGTAGTCAAAGCTGATTCTAGGRACATATTTGACATTATCAAAATATCTTATGGTGTATTTACATTGGTATTACGAACCTGTAAATCAGATGGGAGTTTCTTTGAGTCAACATTACTGATAAGATTTGCACTCAGGGTGAACTTTTCTAGATTTCTAAACTGGAGGAGCCCTTCATCAATATCAGTCACCTACAATATTAATGGCACATATTTTTTAATATAGTAAATTTAAAACTGACATTATAAGATAGATCAGCATGGATGTATAAGCCTTTTCATAGTTTAAGAATCGATTCCACTGYGCCTGCGATTTTATCCSGAATTTCTCACCTTCTTTTGTTTAATTAACAACAAAAGAAGGTTTAAACAAAAGAAGGTGAGAAATTCSGGATAAAATCGCAGGCGCAGTGGAATCGATTCTTAAACTATGAAAAGTCTTATTGTCATAGTCTCAATTCTTCATAACATAACACATCCTCCCTTTCACTTCCCTTCCTACAGTTTCTTCCTCCTTTCCTCCCTTCCCCCTCTTTAYCTCCCCCACCCCCTCYCAAAWAAAAACATGATTGAATTCAACACAGGGAGSCCAATTTAAATAAAATGGATGGAATAAACAAATATTTTTTTGTCCTCATTGACTTACCCTTTTATCTACAATTCTAAGAGATTTGAAGTGATTCAGTATAAATTCCTTGCTCAGTTTTTCTGGTGTTTTTACGGCAATTTCTCTTAAAGTAGATGCTTCGTTACTCCAAGAACAATCAACATCATAAGGCACTGTGACTGACAGCTCTTCTAGTCCTTCTGTTGTTTCATGTTGTGCTGTTACTTCTGGAAACCGTCCAAAAAATAATAATTAAGATTTGAAGATATTTAGTGGTCCCGGTTTATTAGTGTGTCCGCGCAGCAAATGCCCCCCCGACTCCTTTTTAGATTGCAAAGAAGAGATGGCGAAATTTTGAACACTATTTTGTTTTGAATTGCTTACCAATCCTACCTTACCTACCCCTAGGAATGATAATAGTACGGCTTAGTTCTTCACAGCGTTATGAAAAAAGCATGTTCGTGTCAGCTTACTTACCAGCACGTGACGTAGGAGAAATAACAAGCGTCGCTGTCTTGTTCTTCTTCTTTGTCGAAGTCGTAAAATCCGGAATTCTCTATTTAAAAAAATATTCGTAAAATGTAAACTTAAATACACAGAACATTTATCGAATTTTCAAGCTATCGTGACCATATCAATATTGTTATCTCATTGGAAGTGAAAACGCTTTGTTATGTTGGTAAAACATTTATTGAAACAATAAAAAAAATCATTGCCCTAAAATCCATCTACTCACCCATGTACCGTATCCACATGGAAATTCCTTGACGCAAAGAGCTTTTAGCTGAGAACTGAAAGCATCAGTGACGGTACAAGAACGCGATTGCATCTTATATCAAAAAGGAGCTTTGAGTTCGAAGTTTCATCCATCAAAACAATCCGCCATTTTGGTTGCTATGGGTAACTAAGGAGGAGAGCATGGAACTAGTGCCAGTCTTTCATACTACTCGGCCAAATCTTGATTCGAAAAAGTTTTTCAAAAATCTTTAAAGATGAGTGAAAAAGATAGCGATTTTCTGCACATACAAGGCGATATAGACTTCCAGGAGCGTTCTAAGTCAGTTTTCTCGAGTCTTGATCGCCTGGAGCCGAAAAATGAAGAAGAGAAGGAGTTAAAAAAAGCCATTAGCAGACGTCCACATAAGGTGCCTGATCATGTTCTGCACCCTGACAAATGGAAGAAATATAGTTTGGAAGAAGATGGGAGTGAAAGAATGGGAAAGATGAATGCCAGTGACATAAATAAGCATGCTGCATTGTCGTTTCTTAATGAATTAAAGGAGAGAAAAAAGTCTGAAGATACAAGTCAAAGCAACAAGGAAACAGCTGATGCTGTTGCCAAAGAATTGCATATTTCTTTTCACAAACCTAAGAGTACGGACAACCCAAAAACAGAAACGAAGAGGAAATCTGTAGGTATTCAAAAAGATGGTGTCCATATGATGCCTGAATATGTTGTTGGAAAAGCTAAACTCCCTGCCAAATCAAAGAAATTAGAGACATCTATGCCAAAAGATAAGGGAAAGAAAGATGTGCAAATTGGACATTTGCTTGAGAAAGAGGAAGAGGAAATCGTAGATGAGGATGTCAAAGGCCCAGGAGAAGGTCCCTATGTTGCAATGGAAGATACTGAGAAAGAGGATTCCAAGAAAGAAGAAGTCAGGTTTGCTAAACGTAAACGAAAACAAGAAATGAATATCAGGAAGCATGTGAAGGTGTCTGATGATGAAGAAAAGGATTAAAACTTTAAAATAAGGACATTTTTTGGCCATGTTGGCTAGCGTACAGCCCTGCCTAGCCTCCAGGTTCCTTAAGTTTGATCCTCTTCTAACCATTAAAGGCTTACAAGTTTAGTTTTAATTGTCCTCCAATGGACCACTGACAGGGAGATACAGAACACTCTCTAGAACTCTATTACTCAAAGGTGGATTCAGGGGGGCTAGTTAGGGTAGCTAGATAGATAGCCAATGCCCTTTAAGGAGTTTCAACTACGAGAATAAACAGTACATACTGTCTTGTAAAGCAAAAACCTCTTGCATGTGATTATGGTCATGTCAATATGAGATATGCATTATAAAATATTACAACCAAATGCTCTTTAATCACTATTTAACATAACCTGAAATTCCCTAACTTTGATTAAATTATTGACAAAATACAAGTCTTATAAAAATATAGTGCAAGCCATATAGAGTGAAGGCATAATCCAGACGAAGAAGAGCTACTCTGTGGAATCCACTGTTAATCCCATTATTATTATTGTTGTTGTTGTTATTATTATTAGAGGGAAGGCATTTAACCCGTGAAACAAAAAATTCTAGTCAACGTGTAATAGTCAAATAGACAAAAAAAACAACAATGGAATTAAGGTCTACTTAGATACTAGATACTAAGGTCTTACTAGATATTAGACTTATACACATTAGTAGACTCTAATTCCATTTTTTTCTTTTATGGCTATTTGACTAGTATTTTCTATTTCTCAGGTTAAATGCCTTCACTCTAGAGTGAAGTCATTAAACCCATGAAATAGATATTAAACACACATTAGTAGACCCTAATTCAATTGTTTTCTTTTGTGTCTATTTGACTATTACATTGTGACTAGTACTTTTTATTTCACAGATTAAATGCCTTTACTCTATCCATGAAATAGTACTAACTAAATAGTACAAAATAGCACCAATGAAACAATAATTGAAAACAAAAGTAAAAGATGTATTGAGTGCTATTTACTTTTTGTGTTATTTCACAGATATATGGTTTGCACTCTACCACCACCATCAAATATAGCTGTATGTGACCTTGACTCTACAGAAATGCAAGAGTACATTTTCTGTCCCCCTCCCGTCCCCACAAAGTGAAGGAGAAAGAATGAAGTCCCAAAAACAAGAAAATAAGAGATTGAACCATTGACTCAAACCTACCCTACTAACCTATTCATCATGTTAGAGTGATTTTACTTGGCCCGTGGAAATGTTAACCATAATACGTTGTAGTTGACACTTATTCTATTGTTTGCTTTTGTTGTAATTGACTGTTAGACTAAGGTCAAACTTCACATGAGCCAAACCTAATGACATCAAAGAAGACCGCCTCTTTATCCATTGTTTCAATTAGGTTCGGCTCATGTGAAGGTCGATGTTTGACCTGAGCCTTAGAAAAAGGTCAAATGTTGATTTTCACATGAGCCAAACCTAATGACATCAACAAAGAAGACCTCCTTGTTATCCATTGTTTCAATTAGGTTCGGCTCATGTGAAGGTCGATGTTTGACCTGAGCCTTAGAATAAGGTCAAATATTGAACTTCACATGAGCCAAACCTAATGACATTAACAAAGAAGACCTTGTTATCCATAATTGTTTCAATTAGGTTCGGCTCATGCGAAGTTTGATGTTTGACCTGAGCCTTATTCACTAATTATACGACTTGGTTTCAAGGGCCAAGTAAAATCACTCTAACTGCATTCATTTGCAGTCAATCGTAAGTAATGTCTTTATAATAGTTGGGCCAAAGCTGAGTATTACTCTGGTGTGAAAGATACTTTTCTATTAATATATTATTTTTTTCTCCTAGTCTTCATGAATAATAAGCCAGTGTAGTTGTATAATTATCCTATATTAGGAACTGTTTTCTTTTGGATCCTCTTTCCTGGTAAAATTTTGGTCCATCTTGATATGCAAATAAACTCTGCGACGTGTCTCTCGTGTGAAATCTTCTCTCGATCACTTTATCAAAGAAATTTCTCAGCTTTTTAGAGTTTACGTGTCCTGGCCTGAGTTGAGTTAAATCATTACAGTTGATATTGATAACATCAGCGCCAATTTCGTCCACTAGGTTCATGCCTCGTGTAGAATTAGAGATCCTAGATGAGCCAGCTTGATCTAGCTTCGTTCCCACAACAAGAACAGGAATTTGATTTCCAGCGAACTGTTCAGGGTCGAAGTCTTCTACGAAGTCGCTTCCAAACCAACTATCACTTGGTTTAGTACTCGAACTACTCGAATTACTGGAATTTAAAACTTCCCTCAGCCATCTACGAAGGTTAGTGAAGGATTTTTTATTCGTTAAATCGTGGACAAGGATTAATCCATTAACGGAGTGATAAAAGATGGAGCGGCTCATTTCGTGGTTGGCCGAACCACCGATGTCATAAAACTCAAGGAAGAAAGTCTTGTTTCCAGGCATTCCTTCTTTGTAATCGTAAAGTTTGACTTCGACGGTACAACCTATGGTCCATGCTGGGCTGGATATGCTTTCTTCGTGGCAAATCAAGTGTACCAAAGAGGTTTTCCCAACGCCTGAATCACCAACGACCAAGATTCGAACCTTTTCTACGGCAGCCATCTTTAATAGCACTCGGCACCAGTCGATAACCAAAATAAAACCAAAGGTAACCCAAGCCTTTACTCTTACGATGGTGAACGCGTTGCACGAAAGCGTCCAAAACCCGATAATACACACCTAAGCTTGGTTCAAAGTAAATAAATAAATAAATAAATTTTAGTGATTTGTATAGCGCACCTAGTGAGGCGCTTAACATTAAGAGAAAACGTTAAATAACAGCATTGAATAAACATATATGCAAAAGTTATTTACAAGAGATAAAAATAAGTAATCGAGAAGAAAGACTTAGAATGAGGGATAAGGACAAAGCAATTGTCATTTATTATAAATATCAATTTAACCTATTTGTATTGTACCAATTGTCTGTATTTTTGTTGTTTAGTGTATCTTATTTTACTGAATTTTGGTATTAAAATAAAGATTGGCTGATCATGATTGACTGATTTAGTAGCCGAAGTTTTATTAGTATTTGCGAGTTTTGCGGGAGTTTTGTTATTTTGAAATCCCACGGGAATTCCGGGATATGTAGATCTGGGCCCGGTTGTACGAAGTCTGGATAGCGCTATCAGACGGATAAGTCGTATGCAGTGGATAAATTCATTGGATAACAGCATCACTTTATCCGGGCCCAGTAGTAATAAAATGAACGTGCTCGTATTATACATTTTACTAAGTATCTCAATTCTGATTGGTCGAGAGCCCTCAGCCAATCCCTGATATCGTGTGAACTCGACATGATAAATGTATTATCTGTAGGTTTTCCTTCAGATAATACATTTATCATGTCAAGTTCATTCAAGGTCGCGCTGTGGTAGCTTTGTTTTTATTCATTATGTGCATTTATTTCCAGAATTATGTACAAAAACAATTATTTAAGGARTCCTTAACTTATTTTCATATATTTCATGAAGAATAGGCCTGAAGCGAGATGACGTTTTACCCCCGACTCTATACCATAATAGTTTTTAAAATTCTTTCATATTAAAATTTTTTGATTCTTTAGAGAATACAGGAACAATTAAAGAACAAAAGCAATGTGAAAAGGATTATGGTCTAGAGACGGGGGTAAAACGTCATCTCGCTTCAGGCTTATTCTCGAAATATTTCTGAATTAAGAATTTTACATTTTTCACGTGACATCATGGCGTTCATAATTCTTGTCTCTATAATTTAATGTTCATGTTAATGTTTTTCCAATATACAAAATGTATAATAAAGCAATTATTGAATTCGGTATCGCATGATATCGTAAATATCAAGACCAAGGCTGTGTTATCTGCCGAAGCCGAAGGCTGAGGCAGATAACACAGCCTCGGTCTTGATAATTTACGATATCATGCTCAACCTCATCCAATAATTGCTTATTATAGTGGTAACCGTCATTAACGTACTCTAATAAGGCAAAGCTAGTCAGTATACTCTTTATTATATTTTTCATGGTTTAAACATATTAGTTTTCTGTGATTTTAAAAATCTTCAACTACATTTGCGCTACCTTTGGCTATCTTACAGTCTTTTAACATCTTCAACTTTTACCGGAGATGCGAGCTTTGTTCTAAATTTAACCTTAACTAACTAATAAGCAGAAAATCGAATAACTCAGGTTAAATTTCGAATAACTAAAAAAATCGAATAACTCAGGTTCAATTTCGAATAA